GCTCCCTCTGGGACTACCAGAGAGAGCAAAGCACATTGTGGGGGGAAACCCTGAAGCCATAGGGACAAACGAGTGACAAAAATGACAATGCAGAAGAGCCCAAACTCTGATTCATTTGGGCACCTGCCTTCATATGTCATTGGAAATCAGAGTTTGTTTCAAATCAGGAATCCTTGATTGCCCTCTGTGCAAGAAGGGAGGAAGAAAACTCATGAGCTTGGCAATAAGTTGTATTTGTGCGCAGATTCCGCTTGATTGGAGCTTAAATTTCTTAGCAGCCTCAGAACAATGGAGCAATAAAATAAAATAATACCTAAGATATCAATAATATTTGAAATTAACCAGCATGTGTTTTGCTATGAATTCCCTGGAGGAAGGGTAGGATAACATGTAATAAACAGGTTGGATCTTAGGGGCTTGTATTTTCTTGCCCTTCATCATTTATCTCAGTACTCCATTTTGTTGGCATCTTTCTATTCTTCTTTCTCCCATATCCCTGCCTTCTTCAGGCTCTTCCTTCTCTTCACATGGAACATTTCCCCTTCAGATATACAAATTTCCATTTATATTCTTGATAATCGTCTCCATTCTTCTACTCTTTGCTGTAAAATTTTATTACCTACCTTTTGTCTGTGAGTCTATGGACATGATATGTGTTTTATTGTTATCTCATGTAAAAATTTATTTTTGAAACGATAAATAAAAAAAAATCACCCATCTTATTGTTAAAATATTTTTATTCTGTCTGTCCAAATATGTCCAAGGTGGGTCACAATAACATTATAATGAAATAATTCATTAAAAACAAAATCAGTTAAAAACAGCTACAGCAAAATCCAAGTCAGGAGATCACATCTGCAGTAAAACCAACATAAAAAAGGTAAATTAAAATTAGATAATAAAATAGATAAAATTCAACATTGGGACAGAGATAAAACTCTTGTGTGTGTGTGTGCGTGTGTGTGCATGTAAGTAAGTAGAGTGCTGTCAAGTCACAGCTAACTTATGGTGACCCCAGCAAGGGGCTTTCAAGACAAGTGAGAAGCAGAGGTGGTTTGCTGTTGCTTTCCTCTATAAAATCTTCCTTGGAGGTCTCCATTCCTGGTGCCGACCCTACTTAGCTTCTGACATCTGATGAGTTCGGGCTATAGCATGCCGCCTTCCCTCCTGACGAAACAATACCAAAAGCACACTGAAATAAAAATGAAGCAAAATAGTCCAATGATATCTGAGCATAGTCACTGCACTGAATTTAAATTCAGGATTTTCAGAAATTTTTCTTAGAAGGGACAGCCATACTTTTTATATTATATTGTAAACTACCTAATTTAATGAATGTTGTTTCCTACAGTATAATCACAGCATAACCAACCTCATCATTTAAAACTGACGGCATGTCCTTTGATTTATCTTGGAAATTAGCTAGTATTCTACCCTTTGATCTAGAACTGGAGATATGTTATTATATAAAGAGGAACTTGAAAACAGTTCTTTCTCATGTTAATTTCTTCCAAGCTGAGCTGGGAGTTTGCATACTGTGCTTTAGTGGTTCTGATATTACTTGGCTGACCTGTTGTAGAAGGTGGTGCTTAAGGACTCCTGCTTGGCCCCATGGCATTTAAGCTGTGGGGTCATGCAGGGATCTAAACATCCCCCAAACTATCTAACATCTATATGAAACCACTGGGAGGGACTGACTGGGGATTTGGAGTGAAGTGCCAGTCAATACACAGTTGACACCCAGTTGGATTTCTCCTTAACAGCTGAGCCAGGTGAATTTGTGTAAGTCCCAAGAAGATGCTTGGAGAAGGCAATGGGTTCAATGAGGGCCAATAAACAAGTTCAGTTCAGACAAGACTGAGGTGCTGTTGGTCAGTGGAGAAGCTGCTCAAAGACTGTGGACTCTGCCTGTTCTTGAAGAGGGTACACTCCACCTAAAGGAGCAGATTAGTAGCACGAGGGTGCTGAATCATGGCCTACAGTTACAGATTCATATCTCCTCTGGTGCACACACCCATGGTGTTTTGATTATGGCAATGCACTCTGTGTGGGGCTGCCCTTGAAATGTGTTTGAAAGCTTTAGTTGGTACAGAATATTGCAGCCAGGATGTTGACTGGAGTGATTTGTAGTGACCAGTCTTGGTTCATCTTCACTAGCACCTAATTTGTTTCTGAGCTGAACTGCCCAATTCAGGGTGCTGGTGTTAACTAAAGCCTTGTACAGTCTGGGACCAGCATATTTTAAGGACTGCCTGCTCCCTTATGAACCTACCCAACCACTCTGGCCATCTTCTGAGGCCTTGTATTGGGTGCCTCCACCTTCTGGAGTTTGGTTGGTGGCAACTCAAGGAGGGCCTTTTCAGTCATGGCTCCAAGGTTATGGAACTCCCTCCCTAGGGATATTCATCTGTCCCTTTCTATCTTCCTCTGGTGGGTGAAGACTTATTTGTTTTCTTTGGCATTTCCTCAATAATCAAGCCTCTCTGCCCTATGTTTTTAACTGATGTTTATCTGCTTTATATAGAACTATGGGGATTTCAAGGCAAAGATATGTACAGAGTTGGCTTTCCTCTGCATAGCAACCCCTGCATTCCTTGGTGGTCTCCCATCTAAGTACTAACTATGGCCAACTCTGCTTAGCTTCCAAGCTCTGTTGAGATTGGGCTAGTTTGGGCTATTCAGGCTACTGTGTATTTTAGTTTAGGCTTCTAACTTGTTTTTATGATGTATTTGATGTATATGACTTGATGTATTTTTATAGTGTTCTGTCTCTAGTTCTTAGCTGCCTTGGTTGCCCTGATTGGGTTGAAAGGCGGGCTATAAATCTTTTAAATGAATTAGAAAACTGTTCAGAAACTTCAATTAGTCCAGGGTGTGGCAGCCAGGTTATTGTCAGGGGCTGGATGCAGGGATTGTATTACCCCTGTTCCTCTGGACAGCCAACAACAGGGCATAGAGGCCGAGGCCTTTCCCTGATGTTGCCTTCTTAAAGGACCACCTTCTCCCATACTTTCCCAGTCCACTAGTTGAGATACTCCTTTCAAGCCCTGCTCTCTGTGTCCCTGCCTTCAGAGATGAAGAGAGTGTCAAACAGATACAAGATTCAGGTGGGTAGCCTTGTTGGCCTGAATCAACAGAATGAAGTTTGGTCTTAAAGGTGCCACTGGACTCAAACTTTGTACCAGAGACAAGGTTTTCAATGGTGGCACATTGCCTTTGGAACTCCCCCCCCCCCCCTTTGAGGCTTACCTGGCACCTACTTTTCTTTCTTTAAGGCTCCAAGCCAAAACATTTCTTTTTACCCAGGCTTTTAACTAAGGCATACTATCTTTTTTTCCTGTTTTATAGTCTGCTCTTAGCCTGAGGTCTGGTTTATTAATATAATTTTAGATCATTATCCTATTTTATGTGCTTTTTATGACTTGGTTTGCTTTTAGTGGTGGGTTTTATTGGTATGTTTTTAATATTGTTGACTTTGTTTTATTTGGTTTTTGTTTTGTGTTTGGTTTGCTTTATTGTTGCAAGCCACCTCAAGCAGGTCTGGAGAGGTGGCATGAAAATTTCAAAATAAATAAATAAATCCAAGTGTAAAGGATTGTATGTATTTTTGATAATTCACATATGGTGTTTCATTGGCCATCATGGCTAATAGTCGTTGATGGACCTATTTTACAGGAATGTGTATTTATCCTGAAAATTTCATTGGGTACTCCCCCCCACCCCCGGGGAGGGGAGAGTTCTCTATCCACTTTCTCCATACCATGTATTAATTGATTGAACACTTGATTGAGCAAGGGTTTGTTATTCTTTTATACTGCTTTTTCTTCTAGGAAGCTGAAAGCAACATACATAGGATTCCCAAGCAGTCTCATCTAAACGTTGACAAGACTCTAGACTTCAGTGTTTTCCACATGGGGCCCAGTTTGTGGGGTTTCCTCATTACTGCTGCCAGTACAGCACAGCAGCACTGGGGTTTCCACATGGCAGGTTTCTCCTCAGTCTCCCTGAGCAGCCCCTGGATCAGCCGTTTCTCATACCACCAGAAGGCTTTGTTGTTTTTCGGTATGTTGTTATAGCATTATGGCAGTATGTCTATCATGTTCTCTGAATTCCTAGCTCTCGTTTAAAAAGGGGGGGGGGAGTAAGCCTCTATCCCCTCCCATTACAGAAATATAAAGACAGATGTTTATATCTCTACAATGAAAGGGTTTAGGTATTTACTTTTTCAAAAAATGAAAGCTTGGAGTTCAGAGAACATGATAGACAGATTGTCATAATGTTATGATAATATGCCGATTGCCAGGGAATTTTTTTAGGCAAAACTCTCTGGTGGTGGGTGGGGAAATGACTGCTGCAGAGTGGGTGGGTCATGGAAAATGACACTGACGTCGGAGGAACTAAGAAGGTTCAGATGTTCTCATTGACAGGGTGCAAGCCTGGTTTTGCTACAGTCTTTTGCAAAGCAGTGCAATAAATCATGTTTGGGAAAGATCACAGAAAAGATGGGGAAAGCCATGGAGGTGTCCAGAAGCTACACAGTGCTGTGGGGGAGGGGGGATTCCTCTTCCCAATAGCATCCAAAACTGGGGCAAAACCTGAACACACGAAGCTGCTGTATACTGAACCTGACCACTGGTCCATCAAGATCAGCATTGTCTACTCAGGCTGGCAGCAGCTCTTCAGGGTCTCAGGGAGAGGTCTCCCCCATCACCTTCTGCCAGATAACTGGAGATGTCGGGGATTGAACTTGGGACCTTCTACGTGCCAAGCAGGTGCTCTGCCACTGAGCCGCAGACCCTCCCTGTGTGTAAGAGTCCTTAGACTTGCTTAGGTTTTGCAGGGCTGCTGCTGCATTGGTCAGATCATATTTGAGCCATGGTGTTGCTGAGTAAAGAAGTGATGTGTGAACCAGTACTAATAAAATTCGTTGTTATAGAATATAGATACTTCTTTAATCTTCTAAACTACACTGGTTTTTTTTGTTTTGTTTTGTTTTTTAGATAAAGAGAAAAAGGAAAAATTTGAGGAAGATGAAGCAGCAGCTGCTAGTACAATGGCCGTCTCAGCCTCCCTCATGCCTCCGATCTGGGACAAAACCATTCCTTATGATGGGGAGTCTTTCCATCTGGAGTATATGGATTTGGATGAATTCCTTTTAGAGAATGGGATCCCTTCCAGTCCTAATCACTTGGACCTGAATCAAAACCCACTCCTGCCTGTGGCTGAACTGGAAGGAAAAGAACCTGCCAGTGCTTCTACTGCATCCCCAGCATCCCCATCTTCCACAGTGGTTTTCCACCCATCAGAAACTACCGCAAGTGAAGGTAGGCGTAACTCAGAAGGAGCAAGCAATGTCTTCTGAATGTTCTTTTGAATGTTCTTCTGAATGTTCTTCTGAAACTGCGTGAGACCTGTTCTACTCCTGGGCTAGTTGTTACAGATTTAGACATCAGCATTAATTTTTTATGTACCTTTTTGCCACTTTAAATTTTCTTTACTAAAAATCAATTTGATATGTTTGCCTGTTGCTTCCTAATCAGTAATAATTTACTGTAAAGATATATGTATAATCAAGATAAGTGAGTAAAAGTCAAATCATTTTAGATCTTATCTGAGTGCTTTTGGAATTGTGGATTTTAAACACAAATGTTATAGACAAGATAATCGAATCCTTAAAATTCTGTGTATGGGGGCGTCTGTTATATTACTGTGGTTTTGATATAGATATTTGTGTTGGTTATAAACCAAATAAAACTACTACAGTTGAAAGTTGAAAGGAGTAAAAGCCAGTCTAACTTGTCCGTGTAACTTGTCCTAATGAGTCCCCTAGTAATGACATATGTTCCACCCTGTACTTTTGAAGTGCCATGTCGAATCAAGTTATCCTCATGTTACTGTTGCTTCTATCCATCCATTCTCCTCTGTACCCTCCCTGGTTCTGTGACATAGCCCTAAAATTCTGGAGCTCTACTTGAAAATTCTTATCTAACACACAAGGGCTTTGATCCACGTCCTGTAGTTTCTACTTCAGAATATATAGATTAGCTAGGGTTGCCAGATCCCTTTACCTTGCCAACAGGGGCCTTTGGGGGTCATTCCAGGGGGTGGGTGGAGACGTCCCGCTGCAATGACATTTTGGGCCACTGGAAGTGGCCAGAACCAGAAGTTCCGCCCCCAACAGAGCCATTTCACAGCCAGTTTCACTCCCCCCCCCCCGCCGTTTCTAATGGTGGGGGGGTGAAACTGATCACTGAAAAGGCTTGCAGCTGGCTGCAAGCCTTTTTAGCAGTCAATTTTGCTCCCCCTCCCTCATTAGAAGAAGGGAGGACTGAAACTGGCCTTGAAATGGAAGCCAAAGGGACCACTCAAATGGCTGCTTTGGGGGCGGCACTTTCAGTTTTTTGGGCCTTAAAAAACATCATTTTGGGGTGGAATTCCCCCCCGGCCGGCCAGCCGGCCATGATAAAGCCAGCTCTAAATCAGGCGATTCCCCCACCTAGACCGGCTGTGGGGAGGGGGCTGGGATCCCTAACATCAGCCTATATTCAGGCCCAAAGTGAAAAATTGCTTCTTAATGGTTATGTTTTTGAGGTACATCACAGTCAAGTGATCAAAGAGCCCACTAGCAATAGATACTTTCTCCAAAAGATTAGGTAACCAGCCCCCACTATTGTGATCAAGAAATCCTGGTATTCAGAGGATGTGTTTTCTGACAATGGCTGAACTCCAAATAACACTTACTCTGCATCATTTATAAGATGCTTGTAGTTGATAATTCCCCTGTGGCACACAAATGTGCCTCCCAAGACAGTGGTGGTAAACCCTAGCTACTGTTAGACTGATTGCTTGAATATCCTTTGTACCTTCTCTGGAGCCCCTTAGCATGACAGTGGTATCAAACCATGATGTGGTTTTCACAGTTTTCCTCACAGAGTTACTTCTAAGACTACCATGAAGTGGCCTCTGTATGATTTAAAACATATAGGTACAAGTCCATTCAGTGGTTTGATCTTATGATGGGAGTGTCTCCTGGTACCCCATGAGGGAAAATGTTGGAAATCACCCTGAATGCAGTAATTGTGCTTCAGGAGTCTGCACAGAATGGCCAGCATTCTGATGGAAAGTTGTAACTCTGTTTAGGATTGCACTTTGAAGGCTGCACTTCTCAGTCCACTGAAATCAGTGGGCTTAGGAGGATATAACTGCTTACGTTTGAACTGTTAAGTTTCCTGCTGCAACAGGCTATACTTTTGGGCGTAATGTGCGGTGGTACAAAGCCTACATCTTGATGTGCACTTCATGTGCTCTAAATGGTTGGTAGGAGGTGTTATATGGAGAAGGGAAGTATGCTTCTTGTATGAGGTAGTATTAATTCAAGCCAGCTTCCCAGAAGAAGAGTGAATCTTGATTTTTCTTTTGAGGGAGCAGACTCTTTTGATGTGCCAGGGTTCTGTGTGTTTCTGACAATGTGAATCTTGCAAGACTTTGTTTGGGTTTCTTGAACCAATGCAGTGAGGTGAAATTCTATGACTGGATTCTTTAGAAAGTGTTGTTGAGTCTTATTTGAGATTAACGAGTTTTATGGGCATGTCATCTATAGAGGGTATGAAATGTTGAATGCTTTCATAATTTTAAAGTGCTCAGTGCTCCAACATGAGCCTGTCTACACACTAAAGATCTACCTCTGCTACTTTCAGTGGAAGTTTTGAATGGTGACACCAAAATTATGGAATGCCCTCTCCAGGGAAACTTACAATGAGCCTTTTGTTATGATATTTTGTTATAAGATAAAAACTGTTTGGTCTCCTGACATAAATGACATTTGCTGTACTTTTTTTCTTTTTGTCAACCCTTCTGCTGTTACATTAATGGGTCTGTTAAATTGTTTGCTACCTTTAAAAGAACCTCTGTTCATTTTCAAGGCTTCTGTGCGGTCCCACATGGGACTGCAGTAGGCAGGCCGACCACCGGGAGGAGCTAGCGAGCTTCTTTTTAGAATTTTCAACCCGAGAGGGCTAGGCTCCAACGAGGAGGCGGTTTCCCGCCCAAAACACCACCTGACCTGGGCGGAGCCAGCCCTCTCCCCTCAGTTCTCTTTCTGCCGCCACCGAAAGAGGACGTGTTCTTCGAGCGAGCGAACAACTAAGCTTGAGGGAAGACATTTTCCTCAGAAGAAAAATGGCTTCAAAGAAAGAAGAGAAAAAGGAGAAAGTGGCCCTCTTCAAAAATTGTAAGACTTGTGGGGCTAAGATGTCTAAGTCTGACGAGCACTCAGCCTGTGTGCTGTGTTTGGGAGAGACCCATAATATGGCAGCCTGTAAGGCCTGTAAGGCCCTCACCCCGAGGGCTCGTGAAGGGAGATCTGCCAAATTGAAAGCGGCGCTGTGGGAGAGGGCCCTGTCCGTATCTACTGCTGGCCAGCAAGAGAAAGTGAAGACCCCTTCGGTGTGCTCAGCCCCGATACGGCCAAAAGCTGCTAAGGCGGTTGCCCAGTCTCGCGCTGGCTCAGTACCGCCGGCCAAAAAGGCCAAAAAGCATAAGAAGACGCAGGAGCGTTCTTCGCCGCCGATGCGCCTCGGTACCGAGGACGTCGGAACCGAGGGATCGACGCCGACTCGGCGCAGACGGTCACCGTCGCCTCGGCGCGGGGATGGTTCGGCGCCACGCTCGACGTCGAGAGGTCGCTCTCCTCGACGCCGAGACATCCGCTCGGCACCGAGCGAACAGGCAGAGCGTGCATCGGTACCGGTGCTCGGTACCGATATGTCTCCAGTGTTGGAACTGCGCCAAGGAGACAGATCGCCTTCACCGGATCTCCTGATGGTCGGGTCCGTCAGTCCGCTTCCGGATGAGGATATACAGATGCCCCCACCGTGGCTTCCTTGCCACTGCACTCAGGAGGCTTCCGCTAGCTTGCAGCACCGATCGATGTCGCCTATGATACTTCAAGGCGAGCCTATTGAGGATCTCTACTACAATCCGGACGCTGGAGGCTTCTCTATGGGGTCGCATTCGGATGCTGAATCGGATGTAAGATCACTCCCTTCGCCTGACGAGGCGATTGCAGATCCGGCAGCAGTGTCACCATCTGAAGACCTGTCATCGTTGGCTGACCAGATTATTCGGATGGCCAAGGCCTTGAATTTGAGGCACGCTGCATCTGAACAACGGACACAAGATCCGCTTATGCAGGCGTTGTTTACCCCTGATACTGGTCCAGTGGCTCTGCCATGCCTACAAGGGTTGCAGGAGGTGATGATGGCGGCTTGGACGCACCCATCCTCCACGGCTCCTTCTGGAAGACGGATGGAAGGCCTTTACAAAGTCATTGACTCTGACGTGCAGTTTTTGACGAGACATCCCCCACCTAATTCCTTTATTGCTGAGGTCATCCCAGCTCGTACTAGAGTGGGGACGCGGACCACCCCTAATGATAGGGAAGGCCGCAAGCTTGATACGTTAGGCAGGAAGATTTACTCTTCCGAAGCTATGGGGTTGCGTATATCAAACTTCCAGGCTGTCATGGGGCTCTATAACCACCTTTTGTGGGATAAACTGACCCCTTACCTGGACCAACTTGACCCTGATCAGAGATGTTTGGCTAAGGTGATAGCAGACGAGGGCAAGCGTTTAGGTAAATTACAGGTCAACGCGGCCCGCCATACCACGGATTGCCAGAGTAGAGCAATGGGATCCGCTATAGTGCTGAGGAGACATGCTTGGCTTCGATCCTCGGCGTTACCCCTTGATACACGAGCTAAACTTGAAGATTTACCCTTTGAAGGGAAGGAATTGTTCAGTCAGGAAACTGATGAGTTCCTGGAACGCATTCGTAAATATAAGTTGCAGGCCAGATCCTTTGGCATCACTGCTCCCAACAACCCTACTCACAGATCCAGGTATTGGCCTAAGCCGTCCCACCGCTATTCCCGCCCATACCGCTTCCATGAACCGTTTCAGAGGCAAAATTATCAGCCTCCGAGACAAGGGTACCAGACGTCCTATCAAAATAGGCGTCAGAGGTCCAAATTTCCGTCAGGGAATAGGGCTCACCGTGACCAACCTGCTAGAGGGGCAGAGGCCCCGTGACTAGGCCCAGACTTTAAGTTTGGGGTTCGTTTATCTTTCTTTTATGACAAATGGTTGGCTATTACTGATGATAACTGGGTGTTATCTGTAATAAAGTTTGGTTATCTGTTAGAATGGTTATCCTATCCACCATTGCCCTGTTTGTCTTTATGTCGCGACAACGTGATCCAGCCGTTGTCGGGACCAGTGTCAGATCTTCTGAACAAAGGGGCCATCGCAGAGGTGTCCTCGGATGATGACCCAGGGTTTTGCTCCCCTTTCTTCCTTATAGATAAAAAGGATGGTGGGGAGAGACCTATTTTGGATTTACGGAACCTGAATACTTTCCTACGAAAGCCAAGGTTCCGTATGCTGTCGTTGCAAGATGTGATCTTACTGTTACGTCCTGGGGCGTATTTTGTCACTATTGATCTGACTGACGCATACTTCCACATAGCGATACATAAAACTTGCCAAAAGTTCCTTCGCTTTCACCATTGCGGGCGCTCTTTCCAATATAAGGTACTCCCTTTTGGATTGGCGTCCGCACCACGGGTATTCACAAAGTGTTTATCCGTTGTTGTGGCTCACCTGAGACTGCGGGGCTGCATTCTTTATCCTTATTTGGATGATTGGTTGCTAGTTGCAGACACGCCTGCTCTACTCCACGCCCAGTTGGAGTTGGTACTTACTACGTTGCAGTCGTTGGGACTGCTAGTGAACTTCCAAAAGTCTAAGCTCTCCCCTACTCAACGAATTGAGTTCATAGGAGCGATTTTGGATTCCGTATCGGCAAGAGCCTACCTGCCCTCGATCAGAGCCGAGCGGATTGCACGGTTCATCAGAGCCCTACGCCACCTTAGACGCAGGCATGCCTCATTTTTCCAATGCCTGTTGGGACATTTGTCTGCTACCACCTCGGTAGTTCCCTTTGCCAGGCTACATCTCAGGGTGTTTCAGACTTGGTTTCTGCGCAATTTCCGCGCTCATATACACTCACCCCGAGTTAGCTTAACTATGCCTCGGGTAGTTCTCAAATCTTTAGACTGGTGGCTATCGCCATCAAACATAGCTGCGGGGATCCCCTTTGGGTTCCAGAAACATGACACCCATTTGTACACTGATGCATCACTCCTGGGTTGGGGTGCGCACTGTGGGTGTTTGGCTGCGCAAGGTCTGTGGACCGTAGGGGAATCAAGGTTACACATCAACATCTTAGAGATGAAAGCAGTGAGATGTGCCTTTTCCTCTTTTGCAGCGCAACTTCAAGGACGCAGGGTGATGCTTCACACAGACAACACCACTGTGCAATATTATATAAACAAGCAGGGAGGTACCACGTCAGTGGCCCTCACCAAAGAGACCCTAAAATTGTGGCACCAGGTCATACAAATAAAGGCACACGTTACGGCCATCCACATAGCAGGCCGGTTGAATGTTCGTGCCGACCATCTGAGCAGAGTGTTTCAGAACACTTACGAATGGTCCATCAACATGCGGTACCTCTATCCTCTGTTCCGTTCTTGGGGCACACCCATGGTGGATCTTTTCGCCACTCCAGCCAATGCAAAATGCGCAATGTTCTGCTCCAGGGCGGCCTATGCGCACCATTCCCTAGGGGACGCTTTCGACATTCCTTGGGCAGGTCTGTTCTGTTACGCATTCCCACCTCTACCACTCCTAAACAGAGTGGTAGCCAGAGCTCATGCAGAAGATGCGGACCTGATATTGGTGGCTCCTTTTTGGCCCCGCCAAGCGTGGTTCCCGAACCTATTGTCACTGGCACAAGGACAATTCCAAGTGTTCCCGGAGGAGACGGACCTAGTGTCAGGTCTTCTTCCGTCCGAACCGGGGATCTCGTCCCTCAAACTAACTGCCTGGCGAATTCGGCCCGATCGGCCTACTGCCCGGCAGTGCAACACATACTATTAGCTGCACGTAAGTTGTCCACGCGGAGATCTTACGAGGCTAAATTCAGACTGTTTTCTACATGGGTATCACGCAAACACGTCGATCCTACTAACTGTGGGTTGCCTTTGGTACTAGAGTTTTTGTCCCACCTCAAACAGGAAGGTTTGTCCAATTCCTCTCTTAAGGTGTACTTAGCTGCAATTTCGGCTAATCATGTACCTGTGAAGGGGGTGTCCCTTTTTGCTTCTAAAGATGCAAAGAGATTTCTCCGGGGTCTCAATAATTTGTATCCCCCTTCCCAGTTGCCTCTACCCTCATGGAGTCTCTCTCTGGTTTTATCTCGTTTGATATATAAACCCTTTGAACCACTGGCTACGTGTGACTTATCATTTTTATCCTACAAAGTAGCGTTTTTGGTCGCAATCACGTCCGCAAGACGAGTTGGGGAATTAGCGGCTCTGTCCACAGAGTCACCCTTTCTCAGGTTCCATAAGGATAGAGTGGTTCTCCGTCCACGTTTGGATTTTCTACCCAAAGTAGTATCCAAGTTTCATATGTCACAAGACATCATATTACCTGTGTTCTTTCCGAACCACTCTTCAGAAGCGGAGCGTTCCTTACATTCACTGGATGTCAGGCGCGCTTTGCTCTTTTATTTGCAGAGGACTCAGCCATTCCGTACTGTGTCCTCTTTATTTGTATGCTTTGGTGGGTCAAAGAAGGGTAAGGCTGCGTCGTCGCAGACTATTTCCCGTTGGATTTGTAAAGCTATACAATTGGCATATGAAGGGGCTGGTAAGCAATGCCCCCTGGTGTTGTCTGCACACTCGACACGCTCTCAAGCAACATCTGTGGCGTTTCAGGCAGGGTTGCCCCTGCTGGAGGTGTGCAGAGCGGCCACGTGGTCGACGCCTTCGACGTTCGTCAAACACTATGCGATGGACGTTGATGCGAGGAGGGATGCAGCGATGGGCACGGCTGTGCTGCAGTCGATATTCCGCTGAAGTCTCCCACTCCCTCCTTCCAAGTGAGTAAACTTGCTAATCTCCCATGTGGGACCGCACAGAAGCCTTGAAAATGAAAACGGTGGTTGCTTACCTGTAACCGTTGTTCATTGAAAGTGGCTTCTGTGCGGGCACACATCCCTCCCTCCTTCCCCACTGTGGGAGTCTTCCGCGACAATAAGCGGCAGAGGAGAACTGAGGGGAGAGGGCTGGCTCCGCCCAGGTCAGGTGGTGTTTTGGGCGGGAAACCGCCTCCTCGTTGGAGCCTAGCCCTCTCGGGTTGAAAATTCTAAAAAGAAGCTCGCTAGCTCCTCCCGGTGGTCGGCCTGCCTACTGCAGTCCCATGTGTGCCCGCACAGAAGCCACTTTCAATGAACAACGGTTACAGGTAAGCAACCACCGTTTTTTGATTGTTCATCTGTTTTGATCATTGTATTGTTAATTGTTACGGTTTTAAAGTCCCCCCCCCTTTTATTAGGTACCTTAGGGACTTAAATTAGCCAAAAGGCAGAGTATAATTTGTAAAAAGTCAATAATAAAATAATCTTTCCCACAATGGGCTCCTTTGTGACCTATTGTTTCTCTGTTGCTTTTTTACTCATACTGACCAGCTATTGCATTGTTTCCTGCCTTTGCCAGAATCCTCGCCTGATAGTGAGAGACTGACTCCCAGCCCCATTGATCCAGACTGTGTTGAGGTTGATGTGAATTTCAACCCTGATCCAGCTGATTTAGTACTCTCTAGTGTACCTGGAGGAGAGCTCTTCAACCCTAGAAAGCACAAATTTGCTGAAGAGGACCTGAAACCACAGCCCATGATTAAAAAAGCCAAAAAGGTCTTTGTCCCAGAAGAACAAAAGGTAATAGGCTTACTTTATCACAGCATGTTGGCTTAAATTCTTCTCCCATATGTCTTTAAAATGTTATTATTTAATGGAAAGTAATATTCAAAATATTTTTCAAAACTGGTTGAAAATATTTTTTCAAGGCTGGTTTCCTCCCTGCAGGGGTAGCAGTTAACATGGAGGAGCCATGGCTCAGTGGTCGAGTGTCTGTTTTACATGCAGTAGGTCCCAAGTTCAATCCCCATCATACCCACTTAAAAGGTTCATGTAATTAGGTGATGGTAAAGAATCTCTGCCTAAGACCCTGAGAGCTGCTGCCAGTCAGAGTAGACAATACTGACCCTGACAGGCCAAGGCAGCTTCACATGTTCAACTTATATTGCTTTTGTTTACAGTACTAGTTGTTTCCGTGGTTAGCTCCTTTTTGACTTTTTGGGTTTATTTTTGCTGGGACACAGGTATTAGAAATGTGAGCATGTTTTATCACATTTAGTTCACCCATGGTTCAGTCTCCCAGCACTGACATTTTACAGACTTAACACATCAGTTACCAGCCTTTGGGGTTCATCATAGTTTGAAATAGTTGGGGGAAAACCTCTCTGTTATACCTGTAAATTCAGCTGGTAAGGATGTATTTCTAAGGGGAGGTGGGTTTTGTTTTGATTTGTTTTGGGTTGTTGTTGAAAATAGCCTGATAAGCTTCTCAGGATTATAAAATTATGCATTGCCTAGTTTTTTAATATTAACCTTGTGTCTTTACCAAGTTTGTACAAGAATGCTTTAGGAGAAAGATGATAATTATTTTTTGGATTTTAAATAACTAAGTGACATCTTCTCTCTAGGATGAAAAATATTGGTCAAGGCGGAAGAAGAATAATGTGGCAGCCAAGCGATCCCGTGATGCTCGGCGGCTGAAAGAGAACCAGATCACAATCCGAGCTGCCTTTCTGGAGAAAGAGAATACAGCGCTGAGGACAGAGGTGGCAGAGTTGCGGAAGGAAATGGGGAAATGCAAGAACATTGTCTCTAAATATGAGAGCAAATATGGATCCTTGTAAGCAAACCACCTTCCCTTATTTTGTCCCTTTGGATCTCTCTGCTTTCTGTAGTGGCTTCCAGAAATAATGTTAGTGGAGCATTTGGTATCATGTTTCCCTAACAAAGATCACCTGTGCTGATGCTACTTGGTCAGAATATTTTCTGTTATCTGTCGTAATATATGTCAGAATTTTGTCCAATTTAACACAATTTAACAATTAGCATTGCTAATACAAGAACACTGCTTTGATTACTGGAGAAATGCAGTTTAATTTTTCTAGAATGTTGGACTAGCGTGGCTTTTGCTGTTCTGACCTTTGTTTGGAACAGAAGGAGAATGATGTCAAAAACGTCCCTTTTGGATTAAAACCAATGATATAGTGTGGAAGAAATGGCACTGGGAGTAAACATGGAATAACTGTTTGTGTGAAATCGTTTAAAAAGCAAGAATTATTGCAAATTCCCCGTTGTTATCTTAAGAGTAGGTAGGCATCCTTTTTCGGTCCTGGGAATTCTGATTCCATGGGGACAGCAAGATGAAGGCACTAGTGTGCATTCATGTAAACCATACTACTGGGTCTATGTCTCTTCAGAAAATTAAGTATCTTTACCTATTGTAAACACAAAGACTCCCCTTTTAACTGATTAATCTACGGATTATGACATCTGCCTCTAAACCACTTACATTAGACAGAAGAACTTGTATAAGTGGATGAATATGTGATTCACTTAAATGACTAGGTCCATTTGATAGACATTCCTGTACTTTGTTCTGCAGAGGTGTGTATAGATTTATGAACAGCAACATGCTGTAATGTCAGAGTCGTATGCATGTTGGGACTGCTTGCTTTAGGGCCTATCCTGGTGATGTTTTGCCACACACAGAGGGCTCCAGACACACATAAGAATGACCACCTTTATGTGAAACTGCTTGATTTCATTATTTCCTGAATTACCTAGCATCAGGTTTTTCCATGATAGCTGCCTTTCCCTCCTTCTCAGGCACATTTCGGATCTCATAATAAACAAAACTTGAGTTTTCCAATCGTTTATAATAGTTGATTATGCCCTCCGTCAGTCGTGCTTGATGCTAAAGTGATGTACATTCAAGTATAATACCAGGTATCTTCTAGGCCATCAAGTGCAAAGACAAGACCTTTTTTGTTGTTGTTGTTGTTAAGTCACAGCTGACTTATGGCGACCCTGCAGGGTTTTCAAGGCAAGAGACATCCAGAGGTGGTTTGCCATTGCCTGCCTCCACGTCACAGTCCTGGTATTCCTGGGAGGTCTCCCTTCGAAATCTAGGGCTATCCAGGTCAGGGCTGAATAAGAACTTTACTAAGATGGAGATAGATGGGTACCTTAACTTTATCTTGGAACCAATTAATATGTTTGGGTCCACATATCAGAATGCATGTGATAATCAGAATTGCAGATTCTGAAGCAGTGCTATGTCAGAATCTCCTTGTATGTGATAAAAACCTTAACCCATCAAGGAGAGGGAAAAATCTAGAAGATGGAAAATAAAACAGCAGTTCAGTACTTAAGATCAACAAAATTTATTCCAGCATCAGATTTCATCACATGCATGAAATGTACATCTTGAAGATGATGTTTCTGTCCCTAAATAAGAGACAGTGGGGGCACTACTATTATTCTAGGACAGGATCACTTAACAATACCAAACCCCTTTCTTTATAGCCTTTATTCTTTTCAATAGGGAGGTCAAATCAGTTTCATAAAAGTCACTGGGATTTAGGATGGATTATCAGTTAAAACAGTAGCTTTTTATGGAAACAGGAAGCAGTCTCTAATCCTGTGTAATTAGTGTACATTTACTAGGATTATTGTTCCCTTCATGATTACATTTGTCTCATTTAAACTGGCTTTATTGTCAGTGGTAGCCTAATGTTCCCCATATAGCTTCCTTTTATAATGGGGAATTGGTGACATCCCAGAGAGTGCAATGTAATAAGTTACTGTTATTAAATATATATATATAGTCACTGTCTTGCTTTGCTTTGTTTAAAGTGACTTATCCGATTCCGAGTGATGCAACTTTAAAGACTTTTAAAATCACAAAGCAACTAAAACTACACATGAAACCACCTGTCGTCAGAGTGAACAGTGACAGATGTGAGGTATTCTACACAAACAACTGATGATGACCCTGCTTCCCTGCAAGTACCTCATCTGAACTACCTAAGGGCTGAGCATGATGAAAAGGCTAAGGTCTCTAATCCTACACGTCTTTTTGTACTGTTTTTCCTTGTAACCACAGCCTGCAGTACAGTCAAACTCTTTTCATTTACACTTGGTGCTCATGTCCTTGAGTTCAGTTTGATAACAAATGAGTGGTGTTTGGGGAGGTGATGGGAAAAAATGGCAAGTCTTAATTGAAAAAAGGCTTAAACTATAATTCTTCAAGAATTTTATGTGTTCTCATCTCTATAATGAATATTAATATTGCAGCTAGATCCTGCTAAGCTGTTATATCCTGTTCTCTTGGAGCAGAAACAGCATATGTAGAAAACAGACTAAGAAGAAATATGTTTTAGTATGATAAAGTAGAGCCCATATAGTGATTGAAATTGAAATAATGGGAAATAACAAGCACCCCAAGATATTTTGTATCTTAACATTAATGAGTAAAATGCATCTTAGTTTCTCAGATAATAAAAACTGACATGTTTTCTGAAGCTAGTATTCTGTCATGCTCACTACCCTCTGACGATACTGTACTAAGAAAATTGTGATAGTAAGATGTGTTTTCACAATTTACTCTTCACCATAACCTAAAGAATTTTTTCGTTCCTTTTTTCATACATTGCAAAAGAAAAAAAAAACCCTCCATCGTTCAGTTCTACCCCTTCTGCTGTCACTTACCTTTTGGAGGAGGGGAGACAAGAGTTATCTACTCTTTTGGTGGACCTCCTGATGACCACCTAGGTTTTGGCCACTGTGTGACACAGAGTGTTGGACTGGATGGGCCCTTGGCCTGATCCAACATTGGCTTCTCTTATGTTTTTATGTTTGGGTTTTTTTATTTTATTGAAACAAATTGTATCCTGTCAAAATGGGGGAGGCTTCTTCTGGTTGTGTCAACTGAACAACATTTGTAGTGCTGATTTTCACCTCTACCTGGCGATGTACAGTATTAGTGGAGCAATGTTAGCAACTTTTATTCTTCCATTGCTTCCCTTTGAAGCATATTTTGAATTTCACTGAGTGCCTCACTAAGCATGCTAAACATTGGCGTGACGGACCATCACACAGGGCACAGTGAAACCCCATTCAATATACCTGCCTATAAGGGCAAAAAAACTAGAATGACCCAAAGAGAGCAAAGTAGGCTGTGCAAAAGGATTTCCTGTGTAGTGTGTTTTACCAGTCCTGTATAAGTTAAATCCTGAGCATGATCTTCTACATGACATTTTATAGTGTGTCAAATATATGAAATATTTCTAGTAAAATATTGATGGACATACTTTTAATCACTGTAGTAAAACTAGCAGAAAATGAGGTAAAGAATAAGTGGATATATTTATTAATACAAGTAACTTGTAGCAGTGGGGAGAAATAGTCTCTTGAGTGGTCATATATTTTTTCCAGATACTTAGTCAGATGCTTCCCAAGATTATAGGAGCTGTGCAGCTGTATCAGCAAACTTCCATCACTGGATGCTGAGAACATTGGAGCACAAGGGCCTTAAAGGGATGTTGAATTCTGGAGTTGGAACTGGCAGGCAAGTTCCAACAAAGCTATGCTAGTAGATCATATTTTGTATACTCCTAATTTTGCCTGCTGTATTCAGAGTTGAATTCCAACAAAATCTGGAGAAATCACAAATTGCCTCTTCTGCTCAAATGTAGATGTTATTTCTAATTTTTATGACAATATGCATATTGTATAACATGTTTTTGACTCTGGACTGTTAGTAGGAGGATTAGATGTACCAGGAGAAAAAAAAGATTTGACAGATCAGAATCTTATTGTTAATCCAGGTGATACAACTTCTCTATACTTTGTGTTCAGATCTAAATTTTCAGTACCTGATTGTTCCTACATTGTATGTGTGGTTTTCAGAGATGCTTAATCACTTAACGTTCTTCTGCCATACTTTTGGGAAGATGGTACAAATGAATAGTAATGTAATAAAACTGCCTTTCATCAGTTTTCATATTATCCCATGTTAGCAAAAATAACAGATTTTTAAAAATTACTCTATACCTTCCTCTCCCTGAAAAAGTTGTTATAGCGGAAGTGTTCCTAATGACCTCCATTGGTAAAATCTTAAGCAGTACAATCTTAAAACAAATTCCCCCACTTCATCTGCAAAAATTAGATGCTGGGAGGATTTGCATTCAAAGCTCATGTTAGACTTGGCTGCAGAGGGAGTGCACCTGCATCTTTGTGCAGAAAAGCAGTTTCACTCTTTTCTGATAAAATAGTTTGAACTCTTAATAATCTTTGTACGCTTTATTTCCCTTCTCTTAAAATATATTCTCTCTTTGCTGTAGAATATACATAATGTAATATGATTAGGCTTGCTGTTTTCCTTTTGCAACATTTTGGTAACTAATTTACACTGATAACAGTAGGAGATTAACCTCCTCCTCCTCCTCCTTTTTTGCTGTCAAGTCATTGCTGACTTATAGTGACCCTGTGAGGTTTTCGAGCCAAGAGACATTCAGAGGTGGTTTGCCATTTCCTGTCTCCTGGTCAAGACTTCCTTGGTGGTCTCTCTTCCAAATACTCTCCAGGGCTGACCATGCTTAGCTTCTGAGATCCGACAAGATTGGGCTAGCCTGGGCTATCCAGGCAGGGCATTTTTACTAGTGTCTAAACTTATTTGTCCAACACAGTAGTGTAAATTCAGGATTTAATTGTGTAGACTTTGTTTCCTACTTCATTGCATAGTTATATGACTTCTAGTGGAAAACTGCTGTGCAGTCTGCATGACTACTGTTTTTAGGAAGAGCTTGTGAGCAACAGTAAGTTCTGAGCAGCCAAGAGATAGATGGTAAAAACTTTAAAATAATTTATTTTAAATATTAGGGAGATAAAAATTCACATTAAGCCAATAGTCTTCTTATAATAGAGAATTTGTTTGGGTTAACCTTTGTAGGTCATCTCATGATAGGACGGATATTTTATTCTTCATTTTAACAGAGTTTGTCCTGTAAATTAAACAAGGCATTCGTTAGTATTTTTTTAAATTTAGGAGCTAATCCTCCTCCTGTTTAAACCTGTGAGGGGAAATCTCCCCTAACCTTGAATAGGCTTAGCATAGGCATTTAGTCTCTGGTATTGAGTCTGAATTATTTAGGTTTTTATTCCCATGTAAAGCAGTGAGCTATGATGAAAGAACACTTTTTTGTTCTTTTCTGGGGTTTCTTCATGGGATTCATGTACAATTTTTAACAGATTTTTCTCGTTCACATTACTTAGTATTATTCATTCATGAGACAATGAATTTTACTAATTTTACTTGGTGCTGTGAATACTAAAGCATTTATAAGATTTGATGTTAAACCTGCAATATTAATCTTAGTTATAACTGTTAAATTCCCAGGATCTTTGAGGTGTGGTGTTTTTTTTATATATATAATTTAAATTAGATTTCTCCATTTCAGTTCTGAGCTGTGTTGTGCTATCTGGAATAACTAAATAGTCTAGCTGTAGAAGTTGCTCATGGTATTGCCTGCTAGACACTCTCAAGATATCAAGATAGCGAGTGTGTCATGGGCTGTGCTCTGGCCCCCACCTGCTTGCCCCTCTGAATCCTGCCCACGGAGCCTCAGACAAAGAGAAGAGGGAGTTCTGAATCACTGTCACTGCTGCCTCCACCACCCTCTCTTCCTCATTTGTAGCCGGGTGCCACACCTGGCATGTCATTCACAGCCTTCCCCCCTTCTTAAGAATGGCCCAGAAACTAGTGTCTGCTTTTTAGGTGTCACCTAACTCTTCTCCTTCTTCTCCCAGTAGGTTGCTGTTGTGTTGTGCTGATCAGCAAGGGGGGGGGGGGGTTCCTTCAAGGGCTCAGCATTGCTGATCAGCTGAGTCAGGCAGCACCTTGAGGGTGCTCAGCACTGACAATCAACTGTGGGTTTTAAAGGGCCCACCCCCTGTAGCAGCCTCCCAGATGGGCAGCATTACAAGAATCCTGCTGGATCAGACCAGTGAGGGTCCATCTAGTCCAGCATCCTCCTGTCTCACACCACAGCCAGCCATTTCCTCTGGAGAGCCAGCAACAGGGCATAGAGGCTGAAACCTTCCCCTGTTGCCTCCTGGCCCTGGGATTCAAAGGTTAACTGCCTCTGAATGTGGAGGTTTCCCTCAGTCTACATGGCTAGTATCTGCTAATAGATCTGTCCTCCATGAATCTTCCCTGAGGGCTGCAACCACTGTTGGGACCTGCACTGCCTCCTGACACAGTGGCAGTAAACCAATGGTCAAAGCTGACAGGGACACTGTAAAACCTTTAAAGCAAATATATTACTCAAAAAACTATAGGCCTTCATTCTCATGCTGTGACTGATTCAGTCAAGCAAAGAGGTAGATGTAAAAAGTAAGCTGCTAAATCATTTTTTATTATATCAGAAATCTTACAGTAAACTCAGTGTTTACTAGAGAAGGAATTGCATTCGTGTGCTTGTTCTGTTGGTATTTCTCATTTCCCAGAGAAACTAGAACCTAATTTGTTAAATTTCAGCAATTCTTCAATTAGAGGTGATCTCACACATTTTAGGTGTATACCCAAATACGTAGCGTGAATGTGACAAACGAATGTTTACCGTGTATGTTCCTGTGCAATGCACTTTTAAACAAATGTTAATTGTACCCATGTCCTTCTCTTAGATAGGGTTTCCAGTCTAAGGGAATGATCAGATCCACATCAGCTTAGCTTCACTAATAGGTGCTCTCAGATCCTATATACAGTTGGCTACAGTGATGAGTATGCACTCTCTGCTACAAACCCAGATTTATTTCTGTTTATAGAATCTTCCTTTTATACACTTGCAGTTATAATGCTGATAACTCAAGAAATGTAACTAATTTTCAATAGGAGAAGACTGGTAACCACTTTCACAGAGAAGTCATAGTGGAATATACCTGTTCCCCTCCAGGGTTGAGCTATCAAAAAACAAACAAACCCTAGTTCTTCTGGTTTGCAGCCAAAGTCAGCTGTGTGCGGCTGTTATGTCCCCAAGATAACCCATCTGAAGCAAAACATAAGATATTATTTTTTAAAATAAGGTGATGACGCTTTCATTTTAAGTGCAGACAGATCCCCTGAAGTGCATAGAAGAAGGAATAAGATTGGCTGATGTGCCAGCATTAAATTATTTGCCAGGCGTGTCCATCCTTTAGGTTGCAAAGCAAGGAGATGAGGCTCCCTCTGTGGCTGAGACAGGTGCTCTAAGCTCTTACCATGTTACATCTTTCTTGACCTACAGTGTTTGATTGTCAGAAAATGCTTATGTGAATGTGACTGTATGCCTGTAATACAGGTACATCAGGCATGTTTTCTAGCTTAATTTTACAATAGCACTTTCTTCTGCAAGTTATAGATATTAGTAATGTCACAGCTGAATGGAGCACTGCAAAGCAGAGGCCAAAAAAAGGTAAAATGAAAGGAATGGAAATACGGAGACAAAAGTCTAAACTCTTGCATTGTGAATGCTTCTTCACAGATCCCAATTTTATTAGCAGGGCTCACATATAGTGCATATTATTCTTGATGTGAAACCTTAATATCTTGGGCATGTTTTTGATGATCCCGTGATATAAAATGGCCGCAAGAAGAATCTAAGTCTCAGGAGGAAAGTTTGTTATATATTTTTGAACTCTTAATAATATGATACAAAATTAACAATGTAGGTGAAAGATACTAATTTCATCTATAATTATGAATATGTGCTTTTACTGAATTGTCTTGGATAACAA